TTATAAATGACAGATATAGGTACATTTGTGGAGTATACAGATAGTTATAAATGACAGGTATAGGTATATTTGTGGAGTATACTGATAGTTATAAATGACAGGTATAGCTATATTTGTGGAGTATACAGATAGTTATAAATGACAGATATAGTTATATTTGTGGAGTATACAGATAGTTATAAATGACAGGTATTGCTATATTTGCCTCAATATCCACAATGGATACAATTACACACAAAACCTTTTATTCTGTTCATTTAAACAATAATATAAACATTGTACATTTGACAAAATGATGCCAGTCTCTTTAAGTTCCAACAGAAGCCAGGTCTTCCTGTACATATCCCAACACACAATACACAGTGATAGACGTATTAATTATTCACTACCTACAGCAATAGGTCTGGCAGCTAAAATCTGTCAGGCAATAGTGTGATTGCTGTTTTAAAACTACCAATTGATGACGATCACGCAAGGGCTGGAACCATTTCATTAGAGGAAGGGAAATAACTTGGTGATTAAATCTGTCAATCAGATATGTCTTACTGAAAGCTTCTGTTAATAGGGATCCCAAACTTATGCAGCTACATGAATACCAAGTCATTTATTGATGCTCTTAAAAACTTCATTTTAGAAAGACAAAACCCAAGAATTGCTATTTAAGGCAACTATAAACAAAATCCCAAAGTCCCCCTCCCCCTCCCCCTTTCCAGGGATCTGCCCGGTAAATGTGATGGTAAATTTAAAATTGCTTCTGCACTTCCCTGGTATAAAGTTACAGTATGTCATATTATATAGTTGTGGGACACTGCCAGTATTGCTGTGGAGCATGTTTTAATTATTCATAGCTGGGGTTTATTTAGACTTACTACGGTAATTGTGTTTCTTGACCTTACATATTGCCCTGATATACATGTCTGGTGTACTTATCGTGTATGATTGGGTGTTATTACTACAGCAGATATAACCAGATACTGTTATAGAAGTAATTAGGCCCTAACAATATAATGACATTGTGACTGGCCCAGTCATTAGCAGTCTTATCACACACATGCCCGTAATATCCTGTTCAGACATCCACTAAGGGTCTTATCTGTGTACATGGCCTCAAGTATACTACTAATGCACTTCCCTGAAAATTCCCCCATACCAGAAGACAACCTTCACTTTTTTCAATCTTTGTGTTAAAGATGACTTTCTACATTTTGTAGCCAATCTGACTAGTTGGAGTGATTTACAAACATCAGGGTGTTTTGTACCGAAGTTCATATGTAAAAATATGTCACCGGGCCAGGTGGAGTATTGATCTCAACCATCTGGGGTATAATCAAGCTCGGAAATAAACACAAAGCTTTGGTGCCATATTTACTTGGGAATTGTTGCAGGTAAAAATAATCAAAAATTTATTGCATAATTTTCTGAAAATTATACAGTGTTTTATACAATGAATATATCTAAATATTTTGTTTGGGGATGGCGTGGGGTGGAGGTGGGAATATACAGGTACCATCCCTTAGGATCCCTAATCCACCCTCTCTCCCTTTTGAATATTATTTCACAAATTAAAAAAAAAAAATCAGTTGCATCCTCATTTGAAGATTTGCCTGGGAAGTACAATGTATGGGGATAAGCAACATTAATCTGTTTGGAAAAGATAATGAAAAGTAGGGTTTATTTTACTGGGTGCATGTGGCTTTGATATGTAAAAATATAAAGACAAGTTTTTTTTTACTAGACACATTTTAATATTAAGCTTATCTTATGATATGATAGCTGGTTAAAGGAGATTAAGTCTGGAGTGTGAGAGGAGGAGACATCTATGGTCTAGTCAACTGGAGATGTCTGTATTCATGCACTGGGGCACACATGTACAAGTCATCATCCAATAATCAACCAGTCCACTTACAGTATCTATATATGTAGTTCGTGCAAAAGTCAGACCGGATAGATTCTCATGTTTGTAATATCCCAAAATATCTACCTCCATGTAAAAGCATTAGCTCTGAAAGCAGGATTGTAAAATTTAATGAACAGTTATAAGATCAAACGAACCATTTCTTAAAAAACAATGCAGTGTATGTAGCATACTATAGATAATAGCTGTAAATTATATACCCGGTATGTAAATTAAGAAAAAAAGAAACAAATATCAAATAAATGATAATACTTTTAAGTAGTATTGTATACATATTTAGGGTAAGTGAGGTTACCAGAAACACACATTTTATGTGTTGGCCTGATATTATATTTCAGTTACAAAACTGGATTATACTTACATGTGTACCTCAGCTCTATATCTTATATACATAATTTATTATGGATATTCTTTATATTACATTTGATGCTTATTAACATACATGCATGCAGTTTGCATTTATAATACAGACACAGCAGGTTGTACGTACCTTTTACCTGTGAAGCTCACTCAGGTAGAAATGGTAACCTCCTAAGGACTGTTTTTGTACAATCACACTCCAACAGTATTAATTAACTGATTTGTAATTGACATATATGTATTAAGACTAGAAGTTTTAGCATGAAATTCAAATCTTCAAGTAAAATTTCTTGTAATTACCACAGTAAAATGCAGTCTCAATTACACACAAACATATTTAAGCCTTCACAGACTTTACTTAAAATGGATAAAAAATACAGTAATCAGTTCCAGTTGATGATGCTGAGGATGAGTTTTGAGCCTACAGTGTCTCCTCTATAAGACCTGCGGGTGATGTAGAGGCAGGCCGTTGTGTATAGTTCTCCAGGCTGTAGATATATGTTTTATCTCTCTGGTAATACCTCCCTACAGAGAAAGTGATTCCTTGGTATGTAGTTAATCATGTGTGCTGAAGATTATTTAATGATCTGAACTGCTCTATATGAACTAGTGATGACGACCCAACTGATTATTATAGCATAACAGTGCTATTTCATTGTTTACCTGTAAGAGTGGAAATGGCCCTGCTAAGAATGATGAGTATAGGGCTGAAGACAAAGCTATCTAAGGGTATAGGAAGAGATGGGTTTAATTGGAAAGGTATGTTAGGCATAGCGATGCTGTAAGTATGGCGATCCAACCGTTTGGTTGTGATTATTATAGGCTTTTGATATGTTAGGTGCTTCCGTGCTGATAGTCTAGTACTACACTTGATGCATAAGTATGCACATGTTCCTACAGGAAAAACCTTTGGTTTGAAATCTTAGCCTCACTAAACAGATTTTTAATTTACATGTTTAATGTCCTTTGATCTTGAGAAAGACTATCACATTAATTCAATGAATCTAAGTTTAAGATTGGATATGAATGAAAAAGTTGTAATAAGTTAGTGTGTAATTTTGATACATCAGTGATATTAATTAACTAGAGTGTCTATTAACTAGAATGTCATTAGGATTAAACTGAGGGCAATATTTTACTTGAAGGCAATAATTAACTTAATGATATTCATTACATGGAACATTGATGTAACCAGCGCTAATGTTCATTGATAATTAGTTTTAATAATGCTCTGATGTCAATTTTGGGATTTTTTTTGTAAAATCTATATACAAACTCTAATTAAATTAAACTTAGAAAACATCTAATTAACTCTTTTTAAAAAGAAAGAAAGAAAAAATGATCAAAAGATATGCCTTTCAATTGTGTTATTCCTCCAACTAGCAATTGTTTCTGTTGGCTAAAATTGAAAACGTCTAAAATATATTCCAATAATTCGTTTACATACAAAAGATAAATGGAATGTGATTTTATAAGTGTCTGTGTCTGATAGTAAATTTATCTGTGTTGATGTAGCTATAAACCAAGCTGCTGTCTGCCTCTAGAGGTTTGGGGTGCCATCAAGCAAGGCCTACATAGGCAGCTTAATTTGTGGAGTGGGGATAAAAGCATGTTATTGTGGAGATTTCCTGAACTTTGGTGGAAACGAGATATACTGGTGTAACTACATTTCATCAATAACGTTTAGGGACAATATGTGAAGAGTATAGTAAACTTCCTGGTTTGATAGTTCAGAAAAATGTTCTTTATTTTTGTTAAAAAAATGTACTTATTTATATTAAAATGATCATATTTGTAATTGAAAATGTGTAATACATTTACTTGTGGAAGAAAATAATATTTTTGGTTTTGAAAAAGGATGGCATCCCCCAAACAATACAATTTTCTCATGAAAAATCAAACAATACTTTGCATATTGGTATGTTCCATGTAGCACTGTTTTTATGAGAAAAGCTGGAAAAAGGGTATATTCCCCGACATCCGTTATCCCTGTTCATGTACGTTTTGTAGGTATATGATAGTGGTATTGGATTTGTGTTTGTTCCATCTATTGGTATTAACAGGTCGTACAAGATCAGATATAGACACTGACATTGATGTACATGTAAACTCACAAACTCAGCCCCAGCACAGCTCGGTGTTGTAATTTGGAAAGGTGGTGCAGCAGTTGTGGTGTTGGACGTGATTAGCACCATGTTGTAGGGTGGAGGGACCTGACAGGTTTCTGTAACAATATAAAGCTTGTACATGTATTTGGGAGATGCTGCTGAATGTACTGGAGTTGGAGCTCCAATGGATTACATTTGCTATACAATTCATACTAATTAAGTCAGGAGAACTGGAGACATAAACATATATACTGAGGGGTTCGTGTTGTAACCATACTCAGCTCATTGATAGGTTTTAATTTGCTGACACAAAGGGACTTGTTTTTGTAATTCAACTTGATTACATTGTCAGGTAGTCATTTCGATCTGTGGAATTCAAAGTTCCAATTTTTGGAACAACCTGGTAAATCAGGTTCCTGACGTGGAAGCTAGAACTCGGTGAGACTTGATGTACCAATATGTCAGTGAACACTCTTATCTGTGTCAACATGGTGTGTCACATACTGATGAGTGCCAACAGCTTCATGATGTGTGTGACTTCATCTGACATTGTCAACTCCATTCATGTGAATTCTGACCCAGTAACCTCTGACCCTGTGAACTCTTCCCATTCTCAGGTGGACACTGTGGGTGAGAAGGTACAGCAGCTGAGTGACTGGAACAACAAAAAGTCCATCATCCGTCTCAATGGAGAGAAGTTCAAGCAATATGTGAAAGCAGCTCCAAAGAATTATTCCGTGGTAGTGATGCTGACAGCCCTACAGGCTCAGAGGCAGTGCTCAGTGTGTAGGTGAGTATAACACAGACTGGAGACAATGTTTAGTGTCTAGTTGAGTACAGACTGGAGACAATGTTAAGTGTCTAGTTGAGTACAGACTGGAGACAATGTTTAGTGTCTGGGTGAGTACAGACTGGAGACAATGTTAAGTGTCTAGTTGAGTACAGACTGGAGACAATGTTTAGTGTCTAGGTGAGTACAGACTGGAGACAATGTTTAGTGTCTAGGTGAGTACAGACTGGAGACAGTATTTAGTGTCTAGGTGAGTACAGACTGGAGACAGTATTTAGTGTCTAAGTGAGTACAGACTGGCGACAATGTTTAGTGTCTAGGTGAGTACAGACTGGAGACAGTATTTAGTGTTTAGGTGAGTACAGACTGGAGACAATGTTTAGTGTCTAGGTGAGTACAGACTGGAGACAGTATTTAGTGTCTAGATGAGTACAGACTGTAGACAATGTTTAGTGTCTAGGTGAGTACAGACTGGAGACAGTATTTAGTGTCTAGGTGAGTACAGACTGGAGACAATGTTTAGTGTCTAGGTGAGTACAGACTGGAGTCAGTATTTAGTGTCTAGGTGAGTACAGACTGGAGACAGTATTTAGTGTCTAGGTGAGTACAGACTGGAGACAATGTTTAGTGTCTAGGTGAGTACAGACTGGAGACAGTATTTAGTGTCTAGGTGAGTACAGACTGGAGACAGTATTTAGTGTCTAGGTGAGTACAGACTGGAGACAATGTTTAGTGTCTAGGTGAGTACAGACTGGAGACAGTATTTAGTGTCTAGGTGAGTACAGACTGGAGACAATGTTTAGTGTGGTTATCATATCCTCTCCTTATTTATTGGACCAAAAATTAAAAAATATTGTTTAAAATAACCCACATTTTCTGGCTTTATTTCTGAAAATGTTACAATGAAAAGAAGATAAACTATTCTGTTTGAAATAGTTGTCTGTTGTCAATTTTCCCAAATACAATAGATTTAAAGTGAGCTCTGATAATTTTGTTTCGTACATTGTCAAATTTACATTTAGACTTCAGTATGTTTGTTTCATCATCTAAGGTATAGAAATTCTACATAAAATTACCCTGATACACATTTGTTTAAAAATTCTTTGTTGTACATTTGTGATAGCTTTATTTTGTTTTGCAGGCAGTCCTGATACACATATTGTTTTAAATTATTGATTTCTTTGTTACACACTTCTCATTGCTTTATTTTGTTTTGTAGACAAGCCAATGATGAGTTTACTATCTTGGCCAACTCATGGCGCTACTCACAACAGTACTCCAACCGTCTCTTCTTCACCATGGTCGACTATGATGAAGGAGCTGATGTGTTTTCCAGTGTAAGTTATCGCCCTTTATAATATATCATGTTTACATGTGAAAAATAAAAAATGATTCTATTCAAGCTGAATATCTTAAACATATTAATAATGTATCTTCAGTGATAATAGATTGGGCTTGAACACCCTTAGAAAACAAAATGAAAGGGAAATATGCCTAGAAACATACCTCTGTGTCAATTATGTCTAGATGAAGAGCAATATCTATCTATGTGTTGCCTGTTTGGCCATCAGTAATTTACAGGTACCACCACTTTTCGAAAAAGAAACTGTATATGTAGTGTTTTAGAATTAAGAGAATAACCCAAAATAAGTTTTTGAATCTTAAGAAAAAAAGTGTTATTTTCCTGAAGTTAAAATCAAGTGAAATTGACAGAGAAATCAGTAGACACTAGCAGCCTGAGCTGTAGGCATGGATTCTACAGTCTACATTAGTACAACCCGATGGACACATAAAACCTATAAGGGTACTGCAGGCTACAGTTTAACTACACCACTTCCTGGTGTGATGATCTGATGTCACATTTCCTCAGGCACTTATCACCCACCACATCTAGGAACAACCTATTCTTAATAATGTTTAAGTATTTTGACATGACAGGCTATGAGAGACTGTTGATCCTTATATCAAAATAAATATCAGTATATCAGTGGCATTTAGATATATATAGACACTTAATAAAGAATAACTGATTAATATCTTAAAATACAACATGTATTTAATGGAGGAAAAGAAACAAAGATATGATATATGGCAAGGCTTGCCAAGCCATATAGCTAAAAATGTTGTATTTTAAGACACTAAGTAGCCATTCTAGTTATCTAATGCAATTTTACCTATTAAATGAAGTTACCCCACAGTCAAGTTTTCATTATTGTCATGAATTATTACTCATTGTTATGAAAACACCTAAGACTTTGAGCACAAGAAGTCCGAGATAGTACATGGTTAACAAATCCCTATCTTACTGACATCAATTTGTAGTTAGGGGTTGGAGAAGTAGATTTGGCATAGAATTACATACATACATGTACTTCAATCAAATAAATCCTTACCATGATATTTAACTTGTAGCTGAAGCTGAACACCGCCCCAGTCTTCATGCATTTCCCAGCCAAGGGTAAACCCAAGAAGAGTGATACCATGGATATCCACAGGTATTTCTTCAGTATATTTAACTTTATTTGATTATTTCCCCCCCCACCCCCCCACCCCCCCA